ACCGTTACCAACCCATCTCAAGTCAAGTCAAGTCAAAAACTGCAAGACAATAGTGAGAAGGAGTCTGGTGTGCATTGGAAGACAAATCATCATCACAATTCTCAAGTCTAGTCTAGGTTAATAGTTTTGTGGGAAGAAAATGAGGAAATATGGGGCCAAAATTCGATTAGGTAATATACTAATAATAATTGAAACTTAATGGGCAAGGATATGCTCCAAATTAATGCATTAAAAAAAATAAAAAATAAAAAGGGTTCCACTTAGCGCACTCTCAAAACTTTTCTTCAATATAAAATTAGAAATGATTGAAATAAGAAAATTTAAAAAGGAACAAAGAAAAAATGATTATGTAATTTGTATACTTTTTAGCGTGCAGCTTGTTTTTGTCTATCAAGGCAATCAATATAGTTTGAGCCAAATTAATTGAAAATTCAATTACTTAAGTCAAATCAATATCTAGCCACTTAATTACATCGTGGAAATTATAATTAGTGTCTAACTTAATTTATAGCAGGGGTTGCAAAAGATCCATTAGTGTAGTGGTTTAGAGCAAATGCTCCCTCTAAGAAAGGTCCTTGGTCTGAGTACTAGCATTCGTGGTGTGTGTGAGTTTAGTATGATATCGCTTCTCTTAACATGAAATGTAACACCCAGACTCTAAATTTATTGCATATTTTAATTTATTTAAGTGGAATTACGAAATTGCCTTTGGGGTAGGGGTAATTTGGTCATTTATAATTCGGAAGGAATTTGAAAATTTCGACTATACCATTGCGTAGAGCACGGCGAGATGAGTCCATAGAGACGTAGTGGGCTTAAATCGGAGCTGTAACGAAGAAGTTACTGGCAAAACATCACCAGTGGCAAAATCGTAAATATTTTGAAAATGGATTTTTGATAAAAAGACGGAACTGCCCTCGTCTCTCTCTCTCTCTCCCACGCGTCCCTCTCTCTCTCCTCTGGTTCGCGACGCCACCACAACCGGCCACGTTTCGACCGGCCGTTCATTTATCCGGCCACCACTCGGGTCGGGACCGGTCCCAAAATGACCGGCCTGACTCCGCCGTCCTACACCACCCGTTCTCCGACGTCAGCTGGCAGCGATACCGCCGGAAATTGCAGAAAAACGGCCGTTTTTTACCCAGATTTTCTGGAGCTCGTTCCGGGGATTCCGGCCACCAAATCTTGCGATCAAGGTATGCTTTCTCATCTATTTTCCGAGCTCTAGCTTCCTGTTTGGTAGGAATTGATCAATTTGTAGCGTAGGTAACTCGATTTACGAATTGGGTTTCGACCGAATTTCGAGGGGAGATTCCGGCCACTTTCGGTCAGTTTTTGGGGTATGCCCAAGAACAAAAGTGACTCCAAATTAGGTGTATTACCTAAAGTAGAAGTCTTGGCTCTCGATTTGGAAGTTTTCTGGCGATGTGATATCGCTTTGAACACCCACGCGCTGCCAGCGCGTGTGGCGGCGCGTGGGCACTGTAGTTGAGGGGCATTTTTGTCCCACTGTGATCCTTTCGATGTCACGAGCGCGTAGGTCTGCTCGGATCTCAATTTGGATACCGTTAGAGTCCTGAACGAATATCGCATATCGCATATTTTCCGGGTTCGCTAGGTTTGGACCGTTGGATGGTCCTGAGGTTATAATATGTTGATCTAGGTATTACCAGGATCGTATAGGATTCGACGGATCGTAAAACGGAGTCCCGGATACTCCAGAAATGCCAACCCTAGGGGTAAGGTTTAGTAACCATCCGATCGTGCGATCGTGAGAGATCCGACCGTCCGATCTGGACAAAACTTGCAGGACATGTGTCCTAAACCTTGTAGAACCTATAGGAACTGTCAGATCGGCATTTGGAGGTTGTGGCCCCGCGGCCCCGTTTGACCCTAGGTTGACCGTGAGACTTCCGAGATAGTCTTACCTTTCTTTGAGGGTTAGAATGACCTTAGTGACAGTCTTGAGCGTTGTTGAGTTAAAGGGATATTGTGGGTTTAGGATATAAATTGATGAATTTAAATGGGGGAGTTTATGGAATACTTTATTGGTTGAGGTTTATATAGAATTAGAAATTAGAAATTATATATTTAATTGTGTGGATGTATAA